CCCCAAAACCCCAAAACCCCAAAACCCCAAAACCCCGCAAATCTAAAATAAATAGCATTGTTGAGATAAATTTAAAAGTTCATTAAACAATTAATGTTCATTTTTTAAGGTGTAAACTCTTTTTTAGATTAGAACTCTTCTCATTAGATTTTAGAATCTGCTATCTAGATGTATATCCTGTAGGTAAGGTATCAGGGGCTGTTGGAACCATAAGCTGATTTAGGGACATCTAATCAATACTCTTTTGATCTTAAGTAGTTAGATAATTTTGATATGAATTCTGAGATTGAGCTAACCCATACAATGCGCCACCAGGATTATTACTATTGTTTGAAAGCTAAATAGATTGATATTAGATCATATGGTGATTTTTAGTCTCCAATAAGCTATTTTTTGTTGTGGCTTCAGCCATAATTTAGGCATTTCTACCCTAAGTATTTATTCTTGGCAGGCTATGTGTATTTGATCTCTTGTTTTTTGCACTTGAAGTATGATTCTTTTAGCCTGAACTTATTATCGAAACAGAATTCATTTAATATTGCTACTAAATGGTTTGTGGTTACTTATTAGGATTATGGACTGTTTTGTATATGAAACTTTAACTTCCAAATAAATCTTTATCTCCTCTGGTTGAAATGTAAATATCATCATGGACTTATTATTCTCTGGGATCATTATGCAATAGAATATTTTGTATAATTCTTCCCTCAGTTATGTCTCTTCTAGTCATATTAGTTTTGCTTTAAAGCTATCTTAGTAATGTCAATTAAGATACTTAGTGATTCATCATAGGTGGTAACGCTGTGACTTTACCAGGCTTGTATTTTTCAAGAAACTCATGAATTGATTCTTTATGAGTAAGTTCTCCAATTTTACCTTCTCCATTTGGCCCATTTCCATTTGGGCTTCCTCCATATGGATAGTTCTGATAGGAACTTTGGTTCACTTTGTTGTCTGTTTAGTATGACTACTAGTTCTAGAAATTTTAATATTCTACTCTCTTTATAGTTGTGATAGCAGTTTTTTTCTTCTTTAACATTTGCCCATGCTATTATTGCTGAATAGGATCATTGAGAGATCTCTTTTACATTGCAATCATTCTCTTTTATGCCCTTTTTTCCTATTCTATTTTTGCTGCTTCAAGAGCTTTCTAATAAATGTCCTCATCAAACATGTTATCATTATCACTATCTGATTCATCTCTTCTGTAAGTACTTTTTCCTCTCGGACTCTAATTTTCATAATTCGGATCACCAGCTCTTATTTCCGAAATGATAGTATCATCCTTAAATTTGGGATGTTTCTTTTTATTACTGAAGCTATTTTCTGGAGATTACGATTTATCATTCTTCTCATCACCAGCAAACGGTGAAGAGGCATTTGGAACATCCTAATGAAACTGATTATTGCTGATTTTTAGAGGACTCTTCTTAGTTAACTCTTGATATTACTTTTTTATCTTATCATCTTATCTTTTCAGCTTTTAAAATATTTTTTCCGTTACAACTGTTCTCTGCATAGAAAATTTTTCTATTTCATATTCAGTTGGTAAAGCAGTCTCCATAATTTCAAATGGCTTATAATCTTTCGCTAAAACTGTCGAAACTTTACTTACATGACCCACTAATAAATCTGCACTTGAATTTAAGAAGCATACAGAAGTAATTGGCTCTGGAAATTTAATTTCTCTAATAAGTTCTTTTTTGACATTCCAAACTTTCACAAGTCCATCTTTAGCTCCAGTTACAAATAGCCCAGTATTATACTTTTTATTTTAGGATTAAATTTCTGACCCCAAAAATTTCGGCAGAAAGTCTAATGACTATAGTTCATCTTCGTGCTCGTCTATTTTATCACAATTTAACCTGTAGAATTCTTTCTCTTTATGTTCTTCATCCCAGAGAAACATCTCAGTGTCCCCTGTTTTGAAACCAACAAAAATTAGATTATTGCAAATTTTTATATCTCCAATCGGCCTATATATCTAAAATTACTTATAGGTCATGCCTTTTCCATTTTGAAATCCCCATATCTAAAAATTAATTGTACTCATTAAAATTCTATACATTCAAAGATAGTTCAGAACATATTGTTATCATTTTGTGGTATTACTTGATTTCATAAATTTGCTCAACAGCTTATCTATGAATAGAAAATCTAGCATGTATCAGTTCTAGATTATCAACTGAGATAAAAACTATGGTTCCTTTTGATAGACCCTATTAAGTAAAAATATTGATTTGATATCTTACAAAAACCAAAAACTTATCAGTATAATCAACATATTGATTTTTCATTGAAGATTTTTCCTCTTCTTGCATTTTATTGTTTACATTTACTTCATTAAATATTTCACAATCATATTTCGGTGGAACAGAACTTGCAAATGTCATTGAAGTAATCTACTGGGTTACTGATTTGCCTTCACTATCTTTTAATTGATTAGGGTACTACAATTTTTCTAAAATAGCTGTGTCTCTGTCAATTTTATAGATACAAAGTGTTCCAGAAGTTAGGAGGATGAACATTCTTTTAAGTGTCATGCAGTAAGATATAAACATTACTTCTTTCGCAGTTGGTGGTGGATAAATTGTAGAGAGTGTTTTTCCAGTATTTGGATTTTGTATTAGTGCAGAATTATCTTTAAAAAGTGTGAAAACTGCAAATGGATCATTAGTTTTAATATCCTGCTCCTCATTGAAGCATTTCCCAATTTTTCTATATTAATATTAATTTATAAAATATTACGAAATCGCAGAGCCTTAGTTAGTAAATGACAATGCTAAGTGATGTAATTCACCTATCTTTATTGCGTCATTATAGAAGCAAGCGAAAATTCGTTCATTCATCATTTTTATGTTATTTATACCAGCCTGTAATTCAAAGCAATAGAGCTCAGAAAATTTCTATATTTGATCAGTAAAAAAAGAATGCATACATCAAGACACCATATTCTTATTGTGTTATCGTTAGAAGCAGATATGAATAGAGTGGGTTAGGTTGGATGATTACTTAAAGAAGTTACTGTCTTAGTATGACCCCCATAACTATGTATTAGTTTTCTATGAATAGTTAGTTTCCATACAAAAATATGACCAAAGTAAGTGCTTGTGATAAAATATCTAAATTCATCACTTAGAATCAAATCAGTAATGTAATCCTCATAAGTAGTGAGAGATTTAAATTTGAATTAAAGCTTTCCAGTTGATATATCATTAAAACAAGTCTTAAGCTAAGACCATGTAAAAATAATTCCTTCTACTTCATCGACTTTAAGCCCCTTCACCCAGAGTGGCATTTTTTCTAATTTTATCTTAGGTCCAAGTTTGAATTCCATAGTATTTCCTTCAGGGTCTAGGAGAACAGCCTGCTTGGGCTCATATTTACATTCCATTTTAAATTCAAACATAAAACAACCATCTATACCAGCGGTTATCAATTTGGACTCTTTTTCATAGAAATAAGCGAAATTGATAAGTCTTATTTTCAACGGAAGTGCTTTAATATGATGCAAATGTTCATTAAATATATGAAGCTTGAAATCATTAGATATAGCCAAATAAAGCTATAAGAATTTAGGCTTGAGATTTCTTACATGATACTTAGATGAGTACACTATGCATGAGATTTGATGAGATTTAGTTTCATCAAAGAAATTAACGTAAAATATTTACTCCTCAGTCTCTGGTTTCCATACATGTAAATTCTTCTCATTATATGAAACATAGGCTCTATCAATTGATAAATGATAGAATTAAATTTTACTTAGTATTAGGATTCCAGAATATGGATTTAACCATGCCACCTATGTGTTTCTTATATTAAGCGACTAGTGTATGGCCAAACTCTAACTTTTTTGGAAGTCTCTTATGGAATAATTATTCCTCTGGTCTAATTAAATTGTTAACCATCAATGGTATAAAGGATTACCTCAAAAGATTTCTCATTTTTTCTATTTTTTGTCTTGTATTCCTTTCCTTCACATTCTATTTCCCTTAAGATTTCCCAATTGTTGAAGTAACGTTGCCTTAGATGGCACTCTTATTTTTAACTAAAGACATTATTTATCTTTTTTTTATTATTTGAATTATTTTTATTCCATCTCAACTCATCGCTTTGGGGTTTTGGGGTTTTGGGGTTTTGGGGTTTTGGGG